GTGCATTCTCCGGAGCACTGTCTCCATCAACACCGAGAACCTTAGGCATAAGGACCGAGGGAATTTGCGCAACCTCCTCTTCACGAAGCTGCACGAACGATACAAGTTCCCCGCCGATTTTGAAAACACACGCCTCTCAGGGAATAATGTGAACAGTGCCGCCCTCATGAGGATGAGCACGGCCCTGTCTACTTGGAGAAGTGCGGTGAAGAGAATGATTGATAAAGGTGATAGTGATGAGAAGATCAAGGCGAAATATTCTTCGATCAGCGAAGATGACTACAAGGAGTTCAAGATCAAGTGCGAGAGCAGCGCAACCTCCGAATCAAGTCAGTGGGGAAAGAAATGCGGGAGTTGAACTTAAGGGAACACAAACTCGGTCACGGCGGTTACAGAGTGGCGGAGCCTATATGGGACAAGGAGGACGCGGAGCGTGCCGAGCAAGGCCTACCGCCCCGCTTCGAGAAATACAACGGTGACAAGCAGACCAGGAACTTTGTCAGGGCCCGGTACAAGGAGGACCTGATAACAAAGGAGCTTACCACGGATCCGAAGACCATGGCGCTTGAGCTTGTTCTGGTAAGGAATACACCCCCGCGTAATTAGGTCCATATGGTTGCACTCTAATTAATCCCCAATATTTCTAAATGGTTCATGTTCCTTCTGCAGGAAACTTAAAGCAGTAGCGCGGGGTCGTCTCAGAGCTCCCCTTTCGACACCCCTTTAAATAGGGCGTTGAATGTAATGAAAAACAAGGATAAGCTCACTAAGCCGACGTCAGCTGGTCGTGTGGCCGGCAAAGGCTTGTCCACAAAATGGGGGTCATACTATACCGCTGGTGTGTGGAAGGAGAAAAAGACCAGCTCGGAAAGCCAGACGCGCGAGGTTGAAGCACTCAAGGCACAAGTGGCGCGGATTCTGGAGCTGGTCCAAGAGCAAGTGGAACAACAACTGGGAACGAAGCTCAACGCCATGGTGCCTACGTTGATTCATGGGCTAATGACGTGGATTGCGGGCGGCCAACAGGGGCCTCCCCCGGTTCCCAGCTTCACGGCCAGCAACTCGCACAGCGCGCAGGCGGCGCCATTGGTGTCTTCGGCGGCGCCATTGGTGTCTCCGGCGGAGGCGGTATTCATGTCTCCGACGCCGGCACGGGCATTGGAGCTTAATGCACCCGGGTGTACGCCGGCCGTCACCTCGCCAGCAAGCGCCCCCTCCGTCAGTTGCACGCCCGCCGTTGGCGGTGCCTCGACATTAGCCGAGCTCGACGGCATCACAGTAACTAAGCCTCTCGGCCGATGAATTCATCTCCATGCCTTTGACTGGGCATCCCTAACGCCCTACATGTTTTCGCAGGGCGCCGCCGACATTCCTTGCACTCTTCTGCACTTCGTGGGCTGCAAGTTGGTCGATGTCGCCAAGGGCAGAATCGTTCAACCGGGCAACCACATGTTCCACGGTAATCCGATGGCACCCAAAGTGTATAGGGTTGAAGTGGTTCGGGTGCTGCCAGGCTGCGACGAGCTGTTACCTCCGATTCGACCCGCTGGGGCCGACGAAGAAGATGAGATGACCCTCAGGCCTGCGTAAACTGGCCCCTGCTTTGGCCGAAGAGCCAGATTCGTTTGGGGGCGGGGGACACCACCCCACAGACAAGACCGCCAGTCGTGCCGGTGCCAAGCCATGGCAAGAACGCCGCAACGCTACCGGGCCTGCCGGACATCCCTATGGCACAGGATACGGACATCCCTATGGCACAGGATCCGGACGATGATGACAATGACGATGGTACATTTACCAATGTCGATAAGTACTTTGCCGAACATGGGTGCGCTGACGACTTCTGCGGGCCTCTTTCTCAAGAACCCAACCAAGACGACCGCAATCTAGCTGATACGGCGGAGAAATCCAATTGCAACAGGCGTCGCCTGGCGTTCAGTTCTCAGGAGACGCCTCCAGCTCCAGCCTTCACCGAGCCTCAGATAGCTGAGGTGCGAAATATTATCAGCCCCAACACGCTCAAGAAGGCGGTCTGTGAGCAGAATTCGGTCCCATTATAGGAGATCAAGAAGAAGGGACGGAAACGAAAGACTAACAAGGGCGCCGGTGCGAGCCAGCCGGCACCGAGTTCGATCCGTGCTCAGGACGGGCCACCTTCACCTAAGGATATCTCGAGGAGGGTGCATGTGGCGGGTAGGGCGATGCTACCGCCAAATATGCTCAATGCTGCAACCGGTGCTATGCGGAGTCTGCACGATAGTGTTCTTTCTTTGGAGAAGCGGCGTCTCAGAGAGAATGATGTGGCATACCCGGTTTTCGTGGCCAAGGTGCCAGAGGGCAAGGGCTTTGTGGATGGCGACATCGAGGGTACGATCGTCCTGCGGTTTAATGACATCTTTGCTATGTTTAACCTTCATCCGCTCCACTACACCTTCGTTCGGCTGTTTTCGCTGAGTATGGAGATGCGGATCATTAGAGACAAGACCCCGGACATCGTGATAGTCGACCCCTTCTTTATGCGTGCCAAGCACTTGAGCAGCGCTGGGGACCGCCAAGTTGCGAGTTCACACCTCGAATGCGTCATTCTGGCAAACCCAGATAAGGATAACTTCCTTGTGGCTTACTTTCCCGAGTATTTCATCCCTTAACCGCCCCGTAACCTATGATTTCTTAGATTTCAATCGTTCTTTTTTTTCTAACATTCCGTGTTTTTTGCAGTGACACACATTGCACACTCATCCTCCTAAGCCCGAAATATTCCATGGCCACGTATTTCGACCCGAACCGTAACTCCAGGATAGACTACACAAATGTCAAGAAAGTTTTTGATGATGTTCTCCCCGGCTACGCCAAATCTGGAGGCACATTCACCAGGGCAGTTCGTAAGTACGGCAAGCACACCTTCTCACACAATACAAAGTTCTGTTGCGTGAAGCAGCCGCCTGGCGGTCAGAAGGATGCCTACTACGCCCTCCATCACATGCGGGCGATCGTAAGGGACCATCATCACCTTCTGCTACCAGATAGTCTCAAAGATTGGGCCGCGAGGTTGTCGGCAACCCAGGACGCGGACCTCAGACAAGAATTCTTTCGCATCCTATCGGATTTTGCGGACATCATCCATCAAGATGTCCTTCATACCTCGGGGCAGTTCTTCCGCAGATATCAACCATCCAACAGTGAGATAGATGGAATGCTACAAATGCAGGGTGACAACGACCGCGATTTCATGACCATCACGACAGACGACGGCTTCATCCACGCTCCTGTCCGATGAGTCGAGTCGAAAGTAGTGATGTGTAGTTCTGAAATATTGATTGGCTCATGTTGTAATTAAACTTTAATGAATTCGTATGTCTCTTTGGTTTGGACAGTCGTTCAACTTAGATGTAATCGATGCTATTTATTAGTAGGACCATGAATCATGCTATTAATATCTTGCTTTTCTCTTTCGATCATTTTGTTGCATACTGACATATTGCTTATGTATTGTCTGTTGTATGGCTTGTGCATAGAGATGCCGTTGTATGTCGTGTACAAGGGTAAGGTTCCCGGAGTCTACGACGACTGGGAGGAGTGTCAGAGACAGGTTCACCGTCTCAGCGGTAGCAGTTACAAAGGGTACACCACTAGGGCGGAGGCCGAATCTAGATACGCCCGCTATCTAGCGGGAGAGAGGAGGGAGCGTTGGAGGAACCGGATGAAGACCAGTTTGATCGCGATGATGCTCATCGTGATGACCGCAGCTCTCTTCTATGTGATGGTAGTTTAGATGATCGATATCGACTTGTAATGTGAAGACAAACTCGATACTCGCGGTCTTGAGACTTGTAATGTTTTATCTTTGTTCGGTCTTTTGAATTCGGAGACTAATATGATGAATAGTATTCGGAGACTAATCTTCTATTGTATTCGATGAATCTGTTGTTGTTGTGTGCTGCTGTCTATATTTTTTCCAATAATATATTTTGTAACCTGTGCAAAAATGAGAAAAGAAAAAAAACAAAATATTCATACTAATGGCGCATCACCTCCAGGTGCGCCATTAGTATGCCAAAGGATACTAATGACGCATCACATCAGAGTGCGCCATTAGTACGACAAAGCACATGGTTAAGTATGCCCCCCCGGGAGGCATACTAATGGCGCATGTTCTTACATACTAATGGCGCACTGCCTAGTGCGCCATTAGTATACCAGATACTAATGGGGCACCAGTGATGCGCCATTAGTAAAAAATACTAGTGGCGTGCTACTAATGGCGCACCGGTAGTGCGCCCTTAGTAGGCAAAACCGATGCGCCATTAGTAGGCCTTTTTCTAGTAGTGGTATGCAATCACACATGGCGACGTACGTGATCCAGCACAGCACAACACTAGCTAAGCAAGAGTCTGTGGTTAGTACTAATAAGCAAATCATGTTTTTAACTAACTAAGCAAATCGCGTAACTCTTAAGCACGTTGCCCAGATAGCTGGACTCCTGGTGCGTGCCTGAATGATTTAACTGTAAACTACATTAAATGGATTAATCATACCATAATTTAAGCATACCTGATCGAACAAAATCCTTCAGAATAACAAGAAAACATTAGACGTGGCGCACAGCTTGGTAGGACGTGCGTGCAAATGCAAGACCATTAATTTTGAACTATATGTGTCTATCTATCTATTCAAGCTTGCATTAATTGATGGGAAATTTATTAAACGCTAATGAAACAAAAACATCCACGCAGATCACACCGGCCGTCTCCCCTGCATCCCTTCCCTATATAAACGATTGTCCACGGCACAAACAGAATCATCAAACCAACACCAGGTACGCACTACGCAGCACACACGTTAACCTCCGAGTCCCCATTACATTGCCACCTGCCTAGTACAAAAGCAAAGCTCCACGTTTCGGTATTGATGGCTTCCCTGGCCCGAAATACCGTGCTGCTCCTTGTCCTGGTCGGCGTCGTTCTGCAGGATGCTTGCAGAGGACGTATTGAAGTGTGAAGGCGGGTTGGTATTCAAGAGAGATCCCTCCATTAGCGGCGGCGGCATGTGCGTCGTAGCCGACATACTCAAGTGCGGCGGCGGGTTGGTATTCAAGGAAGATCCCTCCATTAGCGGCGGCGGCGAGTGCGTCGTAGCCAACGTACTCAAGTGCGGCGCCGGGTTCGAATTCAAGGAAGATCCATCCATTAGCGGCGGTGGCGGGTGCGTCGTAGCCGCCGTAGTCAACTGCGGTGCCGGTTTCGAATTCAAGAAAGATCCCTCCATGAGCGGCGGCGGCGGATGCGTCGTAGCCGCCTTACTCAAGTGCGGCGCTGGGTTCGAATTCAAGGAAGATCCCTCCATTCGCGGCGGCGGCGAGTGCGTTGTAACCAACGTAGTCAAGTGCGACGCCGGCTTCGAATTCAAGAAAGACAACCCCCCTACCGGCGGCGGCAAGTGCGTAGCGGTCGGCACCACTATCAGGACCTGAGCTAGCTCACCGCTGGAATGGAATGGCGCCTCATCTACGTTCTTTTCTTCGGGTTCCCATTAATGGTGCATGCGTCTGTCCTCGTCGTCGATTGGCTGTTTCCTTTGTTCCTTCAATCCTTTGTGTATGGTGTGTCGTATGTTTTGAACGGAGCTAGCTTAGGTGAGCAAAAGTAGTCGAGCTTTGCTATTGGTCGATCAGTCCAATTTGTATCCTGGTTTGTTTCCTTGTGTTGTGTTGATTTGGCTTAAATAAATGCAAGTCCTTTTATTTTATTTTTTCTCGTTGACATGAATCTAGCTTCCTGCAAAATAAAAACAACTATTTTTTTCTCCGAAAGTGAAAAAAGATTACTCTTTTCTTGAGAAAACTAACTGGTCTCACAATAATGATTACATGCTAGGATAACAGTGACTATTTTATCCAAGGCTGGGGCGCCCCCCTCCCGTCCTTCGTTTAGCTATGCCATTGTTTCGTCTGAGCAGCTTGCAGTTGCACGGCAAACTCCTTGCAAAAGTGTAGATCACCCTCGTGGCAATCCAGCCAATGATGGGCATGCAAAGGCCCAATATCATCCATTTCATGCTAGCCCAGGAGGAAGCCGGATAGCACGATATTGCTCGTGAGCCACCGCGACAGAACAATCAGAAGCGACAGCGCACAAGTTAAGACTTTCGCGTCTGTCTCCTGTAGCGGGCTCGACAGCTTTTTGATGCGCTGGTGGTTGCGCTCCATCCAACGTGAGTTGCGAATAACCATCTTCATCAACAAGAATCAATGAAGGAACTAAATGGATGTGAATAGTTGTGAGATATACTTGAAGTAACTAAATGGATGTGAATAGTAATATAAGATATACTGCTTTAGCGTTCTGTTCATCTGGTATCTTCTTGGTTTCTGAGATCCAGGTAATGCTTGAATTAGGCAATGAAACGACGCTTTGCCGAGTACCAACGTACGGCCTCTCGACAAAGTTTACCCACCATCACAAAGTTGTCAACCACTGACGGACTTGCCACGTGGCACCTGATTGCCGTGAGCTTACTGTTTGGGTCTCGACACATGACACCGTTCCTGAGTTTCTTTCGTTTGCCGTGTTTCTTTTACTTGTCTCTTGGCAATGGCCTGTCTTTACCATGCTCCACATTTTGCCGAGTTCGGCTCTCGGCGTACACACTAAATTTAGTGGATAGACAAGTGGAGGAAAGTTTTATATGTTCTCCTCGAGGACATATCTCTATGGGAACGGCACGACGAAACTTATATATCGTCCTTCTCGTGGACTTATGATTAAGATTTTTGTTTCAAATATTTGTTACTTGTTGGTCAAAGCCTTGTCTATAGAATACATCTTACATTTTGGAACATAAGGGGTACTGGGAACTGTGAAATACTATGGGGCTATATGAGAATATTGCTCTTCATATATGACTACCAGAGCTCAGTTTGAATGAAATTTCTTATTCCACCATGTAATATGATCCTTGCCTTTGTTGTGCAGAAGATGTGCCCATGGTTGTAGTCCGTGCTGTGATGAAGATTGGTTCAATTTTAAAGGTTGAGGCTGCTGGGGCTAGCATATATAAACTGT